CCTGACCAAAGTTGACTCTAGGGTACATACATGAAGGGCTAACAGCATATCGCAATCCACGTAATGGATAATAGGGCGATTTCTGAAAAGTACTTTATTCGGCAAGTACAGGAAAGATGAACACTTCTGCTTTATGATATGGCAGAAGCCCATGATGGGGTCCTGGATATGGCTCAAACTGTCAGTGCAGAGTCAAGGGCCCAAAATTTAAAATAATGCTTGAGTAGCCATTTGGCAAGTAAGTGATAAAAATCAAGTGAAATTTTATTCAGAAAAGAACTCAATGCATAACATCTGTAAAGAAAAAATTTCCAAGACTTTTTTGGCCGCTATCACAATCAGTATGCATACTTGACATACTCAATGCTCAAGGGTTTGCAATGCATTATAAGGCGATTTCAAACACGATCAGCTGTTTGCAAGTTTTCCGATGTGAGGGAATCCTTTACAGCAAAGCAAAAGGATCATTGCTTTCTTTTCTTATGTTGATTGATATAGAAGCAAAGATCTTTCACTAGATATTTCTGGAAGGTCATAATGACTGAGAAAATAACCGTTATTGTCAACACAGAAACATAGTCACCATTTATGGTAGCCTGTGAACGCAGACATATTTTCAGTTGTCGACTAAACCAGAATTTTTGGTCGCCAAAGATGAAATTTTAGCGGCATTGGCAACCGTACCGGTCACAACTTCGAGCCTTTTCAACAATTTATATAACCAAATTTTATGGATGGACAATGGGTGTTGGTGAAATGTTCGGACATCATGTCCGATCAAAATGTGAAATTGGCCGGACATATTCAAAATTTGGTCGGACAATGTCTGATGACTGACTGTTATTTCCAGCCCTGAGCACCTACATTGTGATTTAACAAAACAAGAAAACTCACTTGGTAGTCTTGGACAGTGAACTAGCTTGGTGATCCTTAAAGGGACAAAACAAACTGATGTCAGTAGAGTGTCAACTTTCTTCCTTTTTCAGGATGGTAACAAGTGAATTCAGGAGGATCTGGTTAATATTTCTCCAACAGAAAGTAATGAGGCACACAGGCACCTTTTCCTTCTTACAATATTCCCTATTTTTTTGCAAATATTTCACAATAAGTTTCAAAAAGTAATGAAAATGATACTTACATGTTCATCATCACTCTCATCAGTGAGCATCAAGTCATCATCCAGCAGAACCACTCCATTACAGGTGTCCTTTTTACCCTCTGTGTCTTCTACTTAGAAGCAAACAGAAAATCCAAAATCAATAACAATGCCCTACACAATTTAAAAGACTTTGTGTAAAAAATGCCAGAATCTTCAGCAAAAAGATAGCCAACAGATAAGCAGTAACAGTAAACATACCGCTAGGTTTCCTCTTAACTGGCAACACCGGTAACACCGAGTTATCCTGGATGTTATTTCTGTGAAATGCAAAGATAGAGTTTCCTCCCTTGATGGGTGTGTGGATTCCCGTGAGAGGTGGTGCAACCTGCTGCATCTCCTGTAGAAATGAGAATTTCAATTAACATTACTATGTCACCCAATTAAATGAAACAGATGTCTATTGTAAAAGTCAGACAACTGACTTTCCAGCCAAAAGTTATCAATAGCTGCACCTTGAACCAGAAAAAGCCTCTGACTAAATTATTCAACATTTAGCCAGTGAAAGTGGCCATGTTTTAGACTTAAGACTGCTCTGTATAAGACGGTGGTTAGGTTTACTACAGCTACAGATCATGCGCATGGTTAAAACAAACACAGCCCTGTTGCTACCATGTGTCCTTAACACTGGAAGATTTATTTGTATTCTAGGAGTCTTAATGAAATTCTCTTGCAAATGTTGCTTCCTTAGTTCATTATCTCTCCAATAGCTCAGAAGACTACGGCCCACCAGGCTACGGGATGTGTAGAATTTTACTGTAGCAATAAAGTGGGCTACTAGGTTTACACAGTTGAACTAAGCTGCATGGCATCCCAAGTCTATCACTGTAGTCTTTACAATGTAGTCCAGTAAATGTGGATTCACCAGTGGCTAATGATTAAGGGTGAGATGACACTCCCTGCTTTGATAGTATACATAGTACGTATCTGTCTGGTAGATGTGGCCAACCCTGCAAAATTGCTGCTGATTACAAGGCTGTGATGTTACCAGTGTTGTAAATGTACATAAACTAGCCAAATTGCCTTTTATTAAGGCTAAGAGATGTTTATCCCTGCTTTAATCAATTAATTTTTTAGCACACTGGTAGATTTTTGAAGCTACTCTAGCCCAGGGCCAGTGGCTATTGATTAAGGCTGAGAAAAGCCTATCACTGTTTTAATCAGTACATAAGTGTGGTAAAGATAAGCTGGTAGATTTTTCATTTTAGCCCAGTGGCTGTCGATTAAGGCTGACAGATGCCTATTCATGTACATTAATGCAGTACACATAGGTCAGTAGATTTTCAACATTTTCAGCTCACTGGCTGTCCATTAAGACTAAGGCCTGGGGCTGTATTACTATTTCAGTCAGTGGTCAATATGGCTGGTTGGCAGATTCACAAAGGTTAAATACACAAGATGGTGAATGATTCAGGCTTAAAAATGTTGGCCCCTTCTTTATTCAGCACATCAGTACAGACATGAGTGGATGGATTCATAAGCTACGTTTCTAATTTGGCAGCTACTGACTAGCCTACACTAAGAGGATAACAAATACTTAACTGAAACTTAAATTTCAGTCAACCCCCACAAAAATTTTAATATGTGTTCTTTAAAACAACAAAAGCAATGTTTCTCCACATGTCTGAGTTTCTATTACAGAGTAATCAAAGACACAGAAGTCATTAAAATGTAGATTCATGAGGAACTAAACTTCTCAAATTTTTAGTTAAAGGTTTATTCAAGGAACAATGAATACAAAATTTTCTGAATCTGAAACATTTGGTGCTACCCAATCAAGTCACCACACTGTGGTTTCTATCTCTGGAACTAAGAGGTGTTGCTCGATTTTAAGTCAAATAAAACAAAGTGGGATATATTACCGCAATGATTTTTTCCACGTTGGTTGGTTCATTCACAGGATGATTTTCCTGCTGGGAGGAAAAGCAAAAGAAGAACAATCATTACATAACTAAAGGATAGACATAAATAATATTGCAACACTTACATAGATCACATAAAATGGCTTTGACATGGCAAACCTTGGAAACCTGGCTCTTCCCAATAGGCCACAAAGAGTGTAGTGAGGGAAATGTCTCATTAAAAATCAAACAGTACAACATCAATAGATAGGAAGTGCATCTGACAGAATTTAAACAGCAACTCGATCAAGGGAAATTTATAAGTTATATCTCCGACACTGTTATCTCCATCTTAACAGCTGGCTTTTAAGCAATTGCAAATGAACTTTCTTTTCAGTCTATGGTCATTTAAAGGATCATGCAAGGGGAACAATGAATTGCAGAATAACCACTATAAATGACACAAAAATTTCTCAAAATTAAAGGAAAGGATCAGAACAATCTGGACTGGAATAGAAAAAGAAGATTGACAGGCTATTACATTAAAGAATTATGGTTAGGCCTTTTAGTATTCACAAACTCACTTTTCACCTGTCTTGGTACAAAATGAAAAATGAATCATTATTGGTTTACATCCCTGGGTCAACAAAATTTTAATTCCTTCTGAAGTATCTACACAAGGATGGCCTGTCATGAATACATCCTGAGGGCATGAGATGTAATTAAAGAGAGCTTTTCTTGCTTTTACTTTAAAATTTTTAATATGGCAAAAGCATTAGGGTTGTGTCATGAATTTTGTACATAGAGTTTGGATTGAAACAACCAAAACAAACCATTTAAGTGGTTATTTGAAATGTTTTCTGTTTTCTTTGTTGCTTTAGAACATTAACTCTGTGAAAATGTCCTGATGACAATAACAAAAATTTTCTTTCAAATAATTACTCAAAGTTATATTACTTGCCTTAAATGAACGAACAAATCTAATAAAAACCACAGCCACATGAATTTTGTGATAAGAAAAAAGGGAAAAGAAGCAGCATATCTTCCTTTACACATGAATTATGATTAAAATTTCAAAGTTGACAAATTTAGATTTATTCAAGAGCAACAGTAAAATTAAGGTCTAACTGACAAACACAAACCATCAAATTTATGATTAAAGAGAACCCATTAGAGATGAATATGTGACAGCAGTTTAGCATCTCCAGCTTCACTTAACATGATAAGGATATTTCTCACCAAACTCCCCCCTCCCCCCCTTTCCCTAAAAAATAACACATTGTATATTGTACCAAACAACTAATAACTTCTATTTTTTGCTACCACATAGTGTGATTTGTATTTTAATTTAACAAAAAAGAAAAATCCTTTGTTAAATTGGAACTGAGTATTGTTGCGACACCTGGTGTTGAAAAGCAGATATTCCAAATCAGCTGACTATATTTTAGTGCGATTGTTATGCAAATCACTATACTGGCAAAAACAACATAAGAGACATTTTTTTGTCAAAAACAGTGACTTTCTGGTTATTACTGTTAAAAATCTTGGACAGTGAACCCACAAAATAAAGCAGAACTAAATGTATCTGAAATGATCAAGCACACTCGCCTCAAATTTCAATCAACACTACAATTCACCAAAACACATCTGCTTTATGAGGAGGAGAAGATATTCTTTCAAAGACAACCAAAACAAAATTCCAATTTTAATCTAGAATTCAACGTGGTTTAATAAGATGACCACATGCAAATTTCCTCAAGGTGATCACAACTTACTCAAAGTTAACAGCCCTGTTCTTAAGGTAATAACACATCAACAAAATATACAAGGAACAAGCAACAATAACCATACAAGTTATGAAATGAAAATTGATCAGTCAATGTCTAAACCACATCACCATCACTCAAGTTTCAATCAGTTTAAGAGTTTTCTGTGTGGGTTTCTATCTTAGCAAGAATAATTTATTAGTATTCTATTGTGGCCGCCACCCACACAAAGACTAAACAAAAGAAGATTTACTTAAACAGAAGCTCTTTCATGCTGCAAAGCAATCATTCCAGTAATTAGCAACAGTTGGAAATAATGCTTGCCACTTTTCAAAAATTGTAATTTTATATAAATATAATTTAATTGCCCGCAAAACTCAACATAGTATGATGGAAGATGAGCTAAAAAAAGAGGAACTAAAAAAGGAGCTAAATTAACCCACAGTCTCAGCTTACTTCTTTGAACACTACCATTTAACTAATAGTATGAAAGTCTACAAGGATTGCCTTAAATTGGTTACTAGAATTAAGCGATAATCAAAATACATCTGTTAGTTGATGATTTTTAAGAAGGAAATAGATGTTAAACATCACTTTATAATTATGGACAACAACAGCAACAGTATGTCAATGCATAAAGATTCATGCTTATTGCTTGTTTGTTCCATCTAAAACATCCAACAAATTAAAATGTGCTTCTAATTTACATGTACAGTGAGTTCATACAGTTGCAAAACTATTGTAACTGTGATTCAGAAAAAACCTTTCTAATAACTGGAGTAAGAGAATAAACTTTGTTGAAAAGACTGGTTATTTAGCCGACACTCAAACATCTAAAGCTGTAAAAATAATATATTTTCTACAGAAAACCTGACAAGTGCAATGCTATACTCTCTTGCAAAAACTTAAGCAGTCAAGGTGTAATAGCCATATCCATGTTGCCTTTGCCTCTTTTTCAAAACGGGTCCTTGTGCAAATCTTTTCATATGAAAATGAGTAGGTGCAATACATTTTTTTTTTTTTTTGCCTGAAGGCTTGTTTTGATAACTTGATACAAAGACAACAGACAACTGGGAAATGGCCTATTACATAACTTTGTGTAATTTCTACACAACTACAAGGATAAGAAGCAGAAACAATCACAACACACAAGGAATCTTCTAAAAACAGATTGAATCTAACATAATAATGTTGCAGTGATGTTTCAATCCTCCTAAAAATTCATTTTAAGTTACATTTATAAATCCTTTATTTTCTCTATCCATTTCATGTGTTCAAATGAAACAAATTTGTAACCCTACCTCCACTGAGGATGCAGCAAGATTCCTGAAGACAAAGAGAAAATGTAATTAGATGCAAACGATTTCCTAGGAAACAAACCCCTGGATACACATGCTCATATCCTGTCTGTGCAGCCATTTTTAAACCACTCTCACCCTGCTATAGCCATGTTGAAGATGTGCATAATATACGGCACAGAAATAGGATGTTCAGAGTTTTAACTACTGAGAAATATTCCTTTACAAGGTCAACATGGTTAATCCTGCCAGGAATGAAACTTTACCCTAAACGAAAGATATCCTTCCAACTAATGCTATCAAAATTGTGACAAATTTAACTCATATTATAAAACAAAATTTTTAGTAACAAGTTGGAAAATGTAATAGCAGCTGCCTTGTTCAAGACTCACCATAGATGAGAAGCGACACCTGAAAAGAGGGACACCACCTGTATTCTACATAAGTAGAATTCACTTGTGAATGCTGCACTCTGATTGGCTGATTTACTAATTTCTTACCGTTCAGGCATAGAGAGTTTGGGAGGTTTACTCTTGTTGCTAGAGCTGACTTTAATGGTCTGTTCTTTACAGCTTTTGCCATTCTCTCTTTCGCTGTGGCTTTTGCCTTCCTTTTGTCCTTTAATTTTGACTGCTCCTTTGTCCGTTTCCTTGCCATCACTTTGATGAGATTTAAATGCACCATTAACCACAGTCTTAACCTCAGCCTTTTCCATTTCAGTTGATTTAGATGGAGTAGTATCTTTAAGAGTTGGAGATTTCAAATGTGATAGTGTCTTTTCTGTTTCAACTGCCTTGGATGGAGTAGTTTCGTTTAGACTTGGAGACTTCAAATGTGATAGAGTCTTTTTTGTTTCAGCTGAGTTAGATGGAGTAGTATCTTTAACAGTCGGAGACTTCAAATGTGATAGGGTCTTTTTTGTTTCACCAGACTTGGATGGAGTAGTTTCTTTAAGAGTTGGAGACTTCAAATGTGATGAGGTTGAGTTCTTAGATGAAGCATTAGTGTTGTGTGCCTTGTTGATCACAAGAGGGGATTTTGTAGCTGAATGTCCAGTACCATTTAAAATGCCATCGACTTTCTGATTTTTTAAACTTTTCACTTCTTCTTTGGAAAGTTTGCTGGCAGTTTTTAAACATGCCTGTTTGTTAGGTAATGCAGCCTTAGTTTTCTTTAGTTCACTACAGTTCTTCGAGTCTTTGAACTTTGGATCAAAGATGAACTTCTGGTCACCTTCTACAGGAGTTTGTGGTAGTCTTTGAATGCCTAGCAGATGACTGCCATGTCGAAGAAGAGATGATCCAATAGTGTCAAATTTCCCCAGTGTGGCCTGTTAAAAACAAAACCACATCAGCAAGCATCATTTGAAATATCAATGAGCCACTTCTTGCAAGCATTTCGAAAAGGTGCATGGGATTGTTGTCCTTTGGAAGATAGTGACAAGTTTGTATGTTCTTTATAACAAAATGGCTGGTCAAGATGCTTGAAAGCAGTTTGGCAAAGTTGTGTTCCCAGGCACTCAATAACGAATTTATGCAAATCACCAAAGTGATGCCAACAAGGCTTAGGACATAACAAAGTAAAAGGTTTCATCAGCAGGAAAAACAGCTTGCATATAAATAATACAAATTGGAAAACTTCTTAGTTTTCCCAGAAGTTTCCCAATGCATAAAAATAGAATGAAAGTGCCAAACTGTGTTCCTTGGAGAAAAAGATCTAGATATTCCAAAAAAAAAAAAAATTAACCTAGAATATAAATCAGTCTGCACTCCATATTGCGGTGGCATTTCCTCTAATTTGCCAAGCTCTTAATGAATACCTTGTTATTGGTAAAATAGCGCCATTTGGTGGTAGACGCTTCAAACTAAGAGGTGGTCACCAAGTAACACATCGACAGACATTTCAAGACAACAGTTTGGCCCTGATACTTAGGGGAAGTAAAATATAACATATTGCATTGAGGCAGATAGATGAATAATTTTATTGCTTTGCACTCCCAGACCTTGTATACGTGTTAGAATTGCAATATAAAATATTGTCTTTCAACCAAAAGGGGAAAGGAGAACCAAAAATATCATGTGGGGTCAGTCCAATTTAAGACCTCCTTTAATTCAGGAATCTGAGAGAAGAGATGAATGGCAATTTTGTCTTACCTGAATTTTTTGCTGAAGAGCATCCTCCACTGAAGGCTGAACCTAGAAGTAAAACAAACAATTCAAATGCAATTCTTATTCTCTTATATTGCTTAAAATTAAAGAATGACCCTGAAATGCATAAATGCATTTTGTTTATTCTGGTGTATGGAAATATAATTATTATAAAGTGTATGAAAAAAAAAAGAAAAAAACCAAATTGTACCAGGGGTAATATTGAACCACAACAGGTCTATAACAAAATATTTTCAGAGTTTCTATAAAGTCTTGTGAGTTCTGAAAAACTTTCTCAAAAGTTTCTATGACTCAATATAGACAAGAAAATATTTTTAACTTCTTTTAAGAACTGTGAGAAAAACAAAGGAAAATCACTTGAATAATTTGATTGTGTAAATGTAAATTTTTGTTGCACATACTGTCACAGCTCCATGTAGTACTGTTTGTAATGTCAGCTTTTATTCTGTACTTTTTTACAGGATGGTTTCTTAATAACCTAATTCAGAGCTGCTGGTCACCAATACTCTGTACATGTTACCATAACTGGAGTGAAAATCTCTTTCTATTTACAGTGAAACCTCAATATAACAAAGAACCAAGGGACTAGCATATTAAGGTTGTCCTAGTAATCCTGTAATCAGAAATTTCAACATCCCCAAAAATTCATAGTATTTAAAAAAAAAAAAGAAATCCTCCAAGAATATTTCAGGTTGCTTCTTACACGTAGGAAATTTTTGTTTATTTTTTAGATTATGGTACAAGGATGATCTACATATGTTGTTACTTGCATAATCAGGGCAGCAGCACTAATCATTGCTTTTCACTGTAATGTCTCTGTTCTCTTGTCTCTTATAGTACACCATGTGACAACAAAACCACCTGACAACATTAGAGGATTGCCTGAAAGAAAGATGCAATAACCACAATATCTGACATACCTTTTTGGGTTCTGGAAATAATGGGTGCTCAGCAGAGTTCTAAAATGTAATACAGAAACTAATTAGTATTAAGTTTCCTTCACATAGTAAATAAGTCTGTAAATTTTAGGCCAATGTTTTAAAGTTTGCTAACTGTGGACATTACAAAAATGTGACTTTTTATACGATATGTCAAAGAACATACAGCCAAACAGAATCAACAGTATTACTTGCAACCTTCCCATCATGTGCTGCATGTATGCCACTCTCCCTTAATTAATGTACCTACACAGGCTGTCTTTTTAGTTTTCTTTGAAACAAATGCAACTCTGATAAGAGCAGTTTTAATTGGCAGTAATTTCTTCAAAGCAAACTCAAAACCATTATCCAAACAAGTAGCAACTGGATCAATATCAGAGCCACCAAACTTAGGCAACAGAAATTCTGTTATTCTAACATACATTGCATGAATGTTCTCCACCTTAAAGCTTGTGCATTAAGATCTGACCTCCTGACTACAAGTTTGATAATATTTGTCTCGCTGGTAACCAATGGATATTTCAAGTCAAAACAATCTGTACCGAGTCACTTTTTGGAACTCTTGAGCCTTTATATCCACACAGAATTATCTCAGTACTCAACATTAAATATTTCCCTTAAAATCTACATTTATATTAATGTTGTATGACTGCATAAAGTGATCACATCCCTCTTGAATACATGGATGTTTTATGTTTTGTAAAGAAAAATGTCTCATTTATAATATCATTAAATCAAATACAGTTTTATCTATTTAGAGCTAAGCTGTGATTCTAGTAAGTAATTTGAGCAATCACAACAGATAATTCCAGGTTCAACAGGGGGGCTAATGAAAGTTCGACTCTTGATAACGGAAACTTTACAAGTCAGGAATTGACTTCATAGTCTTGGAATTCTTTACTGGAACCATTACAAGGTGCATACAAGATTAAATTTGGTAGACATTGTAAATGTAAATTGAAATGTTTCAAGTTTAAAGTTTAAAAAAATGATCCTGCATTTGCTGAACGTGATATTTCTCAGGGAGCTTTACAATACTTAGATTGGTTATTAACAATATTGTGGTCTACCACACAAAGATAATGACACAGATCAACCAATATTGCCAATATGACCTCTTGAACAAAAGAAAAATATAAATAATGACCATCAGTATCACAACAGATCAAAAGAAGGTCAAACATTTATTAGTTGTTGTTGCCTAAGCAAGAGAAGCCACTTGTCATCTGTCCACAAGCTCAGAGGCCTGGCTTGGTCATCAAAAAAAAAATATGTAACTAATTTTCCAGACCTGTGCTAACATGTATTAACATACCAAGTATCAACACAAACTGTAAACCCCCAATGTAGCATTACACTTCTGCAAATAATATAATGGTAAATTGAAGACAATATTGATCTGCAAGTCAATGGTTTTCATTATTCTCACGGTCAAGACAAAGCCATGATGACTTAACGAGAAATTAGATGCTGAGACTATCGAAACTAAAAGAATGAAATGATTACACTCACAGAGGCCTGCCTTGATAGTTTTGCTCTTCGTCGTCGTTCCTCTTCTCTCTCTCGCTCATGAATTGCTAATCTGAATTGAAAAGACACACACATGTTTAGTTGGTCACAGGCACTCACATAAAAAAGTGGATTATTTCTTTGATGAGTATAACTGTAAATGTGGCTAAATATGATTTAGGCAAAGTTAGACTCAAACCAATGCAGTCAGCGGTTTCTCCCTTCACAGTACATGACCTGCCGCCCAGCCCTCTGGAGACTTGCAGGGCTTTGTGTCTCACTGCATTACACGTGCAGTGCTGCTAGCTGATTGTTGCGGATCATTTGCTCTGTGTTTTAGCGAATTTTTGTGGATTCCCACCCCTTTCCCCTCCCTCCCTCTCGGTTGCTGGCCTCTAGGTAAGTATGGGTCAGGTAAGTTGTTTCCACTGATTCATTCAGTGTGACGGTGCCAGTTAGCAGCCACTTCTGGGGGTGGTTCCCGCTTCCAGGGTTGCCATGGATACCTCCCCTTCCGCTTATTGCTTCTGCTCCCCACTAACCTTACAGGCACCAGTTCCCAAGCTCATCTATTTGTGATGAGTATAATGAGTATAACTGTAAACTATTATAACATAAAACAAGTTAGCATAACATTGTAGATCCAGACCATAAAATTAAGAGGTTTTTGGACCAAAGGTATAGCTACATATCCTGGCCCCAGTAATTTAAGGGATATCATTATATGGCTAGCGTCACGAGCGGGCAAGATGAATCAAATCCTGCGTTGTGATTGGCTACCCGAGCAGGCAAGATGGAGCTATCTTGCCTGCTCGGGACTACCCACCGTGTCCCACAAGAAAAATTTCCCTGAAAGCCATATAATAAATCCTTTATTGACCAAGCTTGTTCGGTCAAGATGGCTGGTTATTGGCCTCATTCTTTTTTTGTGAGTTTATGGACCTTGACTACGTCTCGCTCCATAAACACGCAAAAAAGAACTTGGCCAATATCCAGCCATCTTGACCTCACACTTGGTCAATAACCCATACACCCTGTATGCAATTATCATCATCTAACATAGCAGTCATTATTAAAAAAAAAATGGTCTCATGTGGACAGGAAATCTTTACTATCTGTTACTCGTAAATAGCAGATTCCCTGACATACAACTGCACACCAGTTTGCCATGTTATACAGGTAAAGCACTACAGAAGATTTGTCCAACAAGATCATGTGTGCACTGCACAACTGCAGATCATCTGGTTATAAGAACACAAATTATTGACAGTTACAAAACAATTATCCCTAACAAATCTTGGAGAATATTGCCCAATGTTTGCCTGTCAATCTTGCTACATTTAGGTAAATGTAGGTATATGCAATAATGCACACCATTTTGTAGAATAGTATTGCTAAATATTGATTATCAACAATCAACACAACTGTGATAAATTTTTTAAGTGTAGGCAGTATATATTATCATTGGAGTTTCACATTTTACTTCAGAATATATTTATCTAAACTCCAAGACCAAGATACATTTTTTCAGCATGTACGTACATTTTTGTAGCTCCAGTTATACTAATTCTTTCCTTTCATTGCAATGGACTTAGTGTCCACATAATGATACATCTTGTAGGTATAATTGCTTAAGAGATTGTAAGTTTAGCATATTTTAAACAAAAGCACCAAAATCAAGGTTCTCATATTAACCTACATGTAATAAAAAGAAAATACTGCTGTCAAGATTTTTTTTCTATGTATTGTCATGCGTACTTCACACTTCAAAGTTAAGTTTTTACAACTGCTGAAGCTAGTCAGCACAAGTCAAACAACAGAGATTTCTTCCCAAAATGGAATTAAAAATAAAAGTAGGCCTTTCTTTTTTCAAACTGGCATTAATGTCTATTTTGTTTTAAGTTCTTTTTTTGCCATAGAGGGGATTCTTTAATTACTGCTTTTACATCACAAGATAATCTCCCAACTAATGACAAACTTGCCAGTGTTTGTAACACAAATCACATGTCACATGTCTGGGGCACATGATCAAAATAATGTTTTTCAAGTCAAATAAAACAAAACAGTGATATCTAACTTTCATATAATAAAACTTACAATTCAAGTGTCTAACTATAACAAATTAAATAGTAAATCAACAGGGATTTCCCAAGCTACAACGAGCACAAAGTATTTAAAGCAAAACTCAAAGCCTTTTGTACTTGTAAAAGCATTTCCATAACATTCCTAGCCATGCCTAGGAAATTCTTAAACACACTACAATTATTCATCAAGTGGCCACTATTTACTTTCTTTAAAAAAATGTCAAGCAGTGAGAGAATATTTTTTACAACTAGAACTTGTAAAAGTTATTTTTATAAAATGCTTTACAGAGTTATTTCACTATTACATTCAAGCTGTTTGCTATTATTAACTGTAGATTATTTCAACAACAATGATTGGGTATGGGTGAATCATGCCACATACTGCTGAAGGAAAAAAAAGTTTGAGAGTCAGACACAAGATCAGCATACGTTTGTTACCAATGGAAATTAAATTTTATCCTGTTACTCAACAGGATCACGGACTGCAAAAAATTCACCAATTTTGTACTGGAAACCAGATCTCTCGTATCTTAGTTCATACATTTCTCTCTGGCCAAACCATCTCCTTAGATACCACAAACTACATTAAACACAGACCTAATAACCATGTATAGCAAACATTTGACGAAAGCCTGTCAATGTTTGCATTGCCTTTTGACAGAAAATACTTGCAAAGCAGTGTTAATGCTGTGGTTTGTATTGGCTCATAATGGGTTCGATTCAACAGTCAGCTGGTCAAAGACGCGATCACAAGTTCGTAACATTTGCTAGGAACTGGTGTCAAAGATAACACAGAGATTTCCCAATCCGAGTTGCACTAAACGTGTGGTATACACATGTAGCGAAGGTTGCCCCAAGAAATCATTATAGCGTATAACATTAGACATAGCATTACCGTCGAGTGTCTGAGATGTCCAGTGCAGAAATCTAAACAGCAGGCCCTTGATACAAAACTGAAAGCCCACTTGGGAAAAATAATTCGAATGCAGGTACAGATGTTGATTTCAAGTAACGCCAAATTTCCGATGAAATGCGGTTTCGGTATACTGCTACAAAAGAAAAGATTGCCATTCCCAAAACTCAGGAAGTTAAAATAATTGTTTATGAACCAATTCTCGGTAATAATAATCTTTACATTTCCTGCCAACGAACGCAATAAACAAAAAAACCTTCCAGACTTTCAAATTGTGCATAAATAGACTATTTCGGAAACAGATCTGTTCTAAAAATTTACTAGCAATATTTGGCGGAAGCTGGTCCGTCTGATGCTTGAAAGCCATCTGTCTGAAGTTTTTCCCCACGAAATTACACAACAAACGCGTACATACAAAACGTGCCCATTGAAATGGGATGAAATTCTTAATTTACTAAAAAAGGAATTAAATCTATTCTTGTCAATTCTCAGAGGGCAGAGTGACTAGCATCACATCATCCAGATATTATACCAAGAACCGTTTCACCTTATGCAGTCATCGAAGAAAAGGAAACAAAATTAACACCAGGCGAAAGACGAAAAGTTTGAATGTACTTGATCATAAACAAATTTATCGCCGACGTGCCAACAGTCCACAATAATGGAACACTCGTTATTAAACTCGACGGCGTTGCAATAAAAGAAAGTGAATTTTCCCGAAATGTGAACTTGGTTTCTTTAAGTTTTGTAAGACCAAGTCTTACGATTTCATAAACACGCAGAAAATCTTCTCTTCCCTTTCCATAACCGAGGATATGAAATATCAGACGATAAAATGAAGTGCAACGAGTATGTGTCGAATGATATTAGACTCAAAGAATAATTGCTTCAGATCGCGAGCAAAAAGCCACAAACAAAAGATGTTAACTCTTAAATCATGAGCAATACCACGATCAGCCCTTATTGTTTAGAATAGAACATATCAGTTTAACGACTTTCGGGAATTATTTCAACGACGTGACGTATGAAACGTTCAGAATTTACGACAATCCTCGATAGAATTCGAAACCGTAAAATGACTCCGTGATCTTCGTACGAAGGTAACTTGGCTTGCTAAACTGTTCCGCTGGGTATAACTCGGTAACAACAAAGTGCAAGAAATATAAGAAATGGGTACGGAAGTTCACTCTCCCTCGCATAGATTCTGAGGGGGCGGCAAAATGAACACGGAATTAAATCGTAAACTTTCTATAGCAAGATCACCGAAATTTTGCCCCTTACCTAAGTTACGTTATAAAACAGGGATTACTCAGACAACGGGCGTTTTCTCCCGACAAAATTATCATAAGTTTGCCGACAACATTGTCTATACACTACCATACAAGCCTGTTCAACGCGCCATGTTGACGAGAACTATGTTCTAACGCATACGAAATAAAAGCTCCAAATCTTTTTAAAGCACTTACCCCGACGACATTCCCCCAGTGTGAAAATTTGTACTTCTCAGGCTAGTACTGGTCTGACTTCGACTCATAGCACAAAAAATCCCCGTGGAAGTTGAGAGAAGACGAGCAATGCAGTGCCCAATATATCAGAAGATTTCGCCGCTCTACGAAAGAACATCAACACAGTGTAGTGTGCTGTTCGACAACCGAAGGTAAACTCCGCGCCACAAAACAAGGTTAACGCCAGTTAAGAAAGAGGTGATTCCTCAGACAATTCGAGAGGAAGTCAGCGCCTTTGAAGCCTTGCTTTCTGTGCCTACATATTCGATACCCTGCTAAACAAAACCAGTTCAGAATTTGAAGTCCTTCATCCGCTAAAAATCTGGAGATTTCGGGCAGCTGTGTGACGCACAATTCACACCCCACGTGACGAAAACGACCTTTTCATTGGTCGAGCACCTGCCAATCAACCAGCCATGAGAGATACAACCGGAAATGGGGCTTCCCTCATTCGACGCGAAAAACACAAGCACCGGATGTCAAAAGAAAGTTACTATTGAAGGTAAGAAAAATTCTTACGACGTTGTGAAACCTATTCTATTCATAATAAGTGACAGAATATCATCAGCCTTTTTTGACGTATATTCTTACTCTTTTCTTCACGCGGCACGAGATCAAAATGTTACAAAAGCTGCAAAGAATGAAGAAATAAAACTCGTTTTGGACTGACAGACTTATATGTCTTTATTGGACATAATTCATTCAAATTATGAGCAGAACCTCTATTATTTCCTACAATAGCTCATTACGTTTAGCAGATCGACTTTGAAGAGTGGAATACTCTCCAAATCATCGAATATGTGAGAGCTATACTTCCCTTGGAATGGATTACGCAACAACACCCACCCTATCGCTAACTGAATTGCTATTTACTATCTCTCTCTCTGCACCATTATAATGTGTAATACTCACTTTCATACTGCATATATGTTTTTTCTAAATAAAAATGAAAAACGGAGACGTAATCCTGTCTAATATTTACAAAAACTAAAATGCGCGTGACGACCTGGTTAATAGAAAGTAAGAAGAGCCTTACCTAAACTAAACTACTAAGCAGGCGACAGTAATGTATTTTTATCTTCGCTTAAGACTGTTTAATTTTCAATATTGAACTTTGGAGTGGTCACTAAGTCATAAATTTGGCACCATTATGGCATATTTGGCATAATAAGAGCGTGTAAGATAGTATTATGCATTTTATTGTAGATGCAAGTGTCAAAAGTACACAAAACTAAAACGCGCTCTCCGACATTGTGCAATTACTGTCTGGAAACATGGTGGTCTACGTATAGCCGTACTCACAACTCGCCCTCCACCTCCCTCCCCCTCCCCCCCCCTCCCCCCTCTTCCCACTTCCCACTTCAGTCCCCGTAGAGGAAAAACGGATGTTCCCTTCATCCCGTTTCTGTAGTAATTTGCTCCTTGGTCGACCTCGCCAAGCAAAACAATTTAGGCTCCAAGTTCCTTAGCTTTCTCTTTCTTTGAAGTTCAGCTAAGTCAACCCGAAAAGAAATACTCGAGCGAAATAGATTTAACGAACTTCGCAGACCTTCAGTAAAAAGTAGTCACAGCACAAATGGCTGCCATGTTTGCAAACTGAGAAGCGAAACCAGTAACTAAAACTGCAGGCAGAACACAAGCTCGGGGCAGGGACGAAACATGACAAAATATGAGGGTGTAAAACGTTTCCAGACTTTGCATTTGTATCCCAAAAATGTTATTTGTCTTGCAAAGTCAGCACAGGCTCTCGGCCATCAAGTACCGCGTACGTTAAAACGTCGATGCAGTTGTTTCGTGGTCAGTTTCCTCTACCTCTCGGGACGCTATCAGCTGACATGTTCAGTCTCAGTCAAGGTGTAGCTTCTCCCTATCAGTCTATTTTGTTTCCACTGTCTCAAAGCATTTGTCCTGTGATCTCCCACACTCTGGTGTTACTGATAGTATTTGGCCAATAGATACAAAGGATTCTCAGGATTCTGCGCAATTTAACGTCTGTCGATGAAAGTCCATATATAGCTTTGAAATGAACGTCTCCATCTTTGTCTAAGTCTGGGACTCCATGGAGCATGCAGTACAGACATTTTAAAGCTAAATATTCTCGTTTTGTGACTTTTGTGATCACTTTCGATCTTTCAATATATTGCATGGCAACCATTCCTCCTGTGTTAGTTACGCGAGTGGTGTTACACTCGTTAGATTTATTTGTTGTTCATATGATCTTTGTGTTACATTATTGCGTAACATTGATGAGAAGTCTCAGTTTAGGTGAAATGGCTTCAATTTTTTTAATTCGTGACTGGGATTGCTGGTATAAAAGTTGGTGTTGTGTAAGAGCACAGTCCTCATTAACTATACCTAAAAAGATAAAAGACAATAAAATGTCTGAGGTCTTCTCAGGGGAGACCCTTGATCCCTTCAAAAATTTCGCATTTTCTCCCTTGTTCCCAAATAATTTAATTCTATAGTTACTTAATTTTTTTTTCGCAAAATTTAAAGTTCCCGTTTAGAGGAAAGTTATCCCTAGTTCCCTCAAGTTAATCAAAAAATATCCCTTGTGCCTCTGACGTAAGTGATCATATCCAGGGATACCCTGTTCAGCCGCCTATTAAACATTTCTGGACATGTAAAACACTGCTGACATTTTTAACATGGAAAGCAGTCAATATCTTCAATTGCTACACATCAGGGAAGTGATAAGCTTTTGTGCACAGCCGGAAACTCATTTGTTAAAAGAAAACTTCCTTGACGCACAACTAGATACACCTGACCTAAAGTGTAACCCTCAACTCACTACATACTGTGTCACCCAGAGCCTGTAACCGCCTATATCAACACCGAGAGAATACTACATAAGCTTTACTTATCTTTCTGGTTTTTGTTTAGCGATCTTACACTTTTTCTAGCAAGTCCAGTTCTTCACCGAGTTTATAATACCTCTGAGAAACTGAACGGTCTTCAACAGCTAGTTAACAAATTGTTGTCTTTAGTACCGTTTTCTGGTCGCGCTCATAACAGCCGGAGCCGGGGTGCAAACAATCGACTTAATCGGCTTTTTCAGAGCTTTGCCTTCAGTTCTTGCAGCTGATTTACAAGGTCTGAGGGAATGTGATGGAGAAGTGTCAGTGTGCTTGCTTCAAGACCGAGCCTCTGCAGTTGAACAGAAAAGAAATTAAAGTAAACTGCGATGTGTATAGCAATGTTAATTAAGGGCTGATTACAGCGACAGCGGTGGTAGTATAAAAGGAGCATAAGTTAAAGTAAAGCTTTCAGTGTAAACTTCAGTTATATACATACCCACCAGGCGATCAAAAGACTGTGTAACGCTTGAATTATTTGCGGTCGGAACGTTCGGCACAACCTTACAATATGGCACGTATTCAAAACAAATTTTAACGGTACGTGCCTAGATACGTTTTTGACCGAGGTCCAAAGAAAAACCACTTTGAAATCCGATCCGCTGATAGATCTTGATAGTATGAAGCAATCTGATAGTCCCATTTGCGACCAACTGTCGTCCAACTGATTCGTCTTGAAACCTTTTTCAACGGAGATCAAACCCGTCTTGGTGGGCCAATAAATAAGTCGTTACGAGTTTAAAGTAGTCATCGTGTGTCGAGAACTCTATTCAGTCCTGAATAATCATGAACATTGAAACCCTGAAAACAAAGTTCTTTCGAGAAAGATTACCCGTTCCGCCTGACCGAAGTTCTTTCATGTCACGTTTTACTGAGTTGTATAGATAACACTCCCGGAGTAAAATTAAAATCAGTGAAGAACACAATCGAGTGAACATGGTTTGAATCTTGTTATCCTTCAAGAAGACAACAGAGAAGTCGAAGAGTTAGATCGAGGGGACTGGGAAAAACTTTTGAAGAAACACCCATCAAACGTGAGGTCTTTGGCAAAAAAAAAGGAAAGAAAGACATGAAAACGCTTCAACGAGGTTAAAGTTGCTTTGTTTTGTGAAATTGTATGCAAGTTTTAGTCAGAACTGCAGGAAGAAGCCAAGAATTATTTCAACAACTCAATACTACCATGGTATGGGAGCATCTGTTGTACTGAGGACCTCTTCGTATGAGCCCGGTAACCGGGCTGGCTCGGTTATCGGGTCGAATTTTGTTGTCGGTTCATATGGGAAATTTCAGCCCAGTCTACCGGGATAAAATCCAAGAAACACAACCAAAATGGTGGAACATAAACTTGTATCGTTCGCGGCTGTCGCAGCTTTGTGGACCCTTGCAACTTTACTACTAAAGCTAATTCGCCTACTCCTAAAGTGGAAATACATACAAGGCAAAAATTATCCCATTTTGGCCGCTATGTTGCGAAAGCGAAGCTATTTCGTCTAAAAAGTTGTGTCCCGGTTACCCGCGGCCGGGCTGGAGTGTTCATATGGGAAAATTTTCATCTCGGTTACCGAGATCTCGGTCGCAAAAACCCGAGATCTCGGTAACCGGGCCAGCCTGGCTTCTCATATGAACACATCGAAGTTTTCACGAAGGAAAGAGAAGCGAGGCGAGATCTCGGAAACCGAGCCAGCCCGGTTGCCCGGGCTCATATGAAGAGGCCCTGAATCGATTTGATGAGTTTGCGATACTTAAAGAAATGCCTTCGTGCATAATCGACCATGACTAACACAGTGGTAACACTGGTGACAATCGACATGACGAGACTCATTAGGAAGTGGCTGTGACGACTAACAATTGATGAAGAATTTAAAAATAAAACTTTAAAAACGTGTTGCCAACCTTTGCAATGATTTTCCCTTGGTTAAATTTCTTATTTCCATCCTGCCTGTATAAGATGTTGGTTGAACGCCAGTTTTACTGATAAGCTCAGCGCTAAATCTTGCTCTGCATAGTATCACTTAGACTTACTTTATATTATAGTAAATTTTCAAAGTTAAATTAATGCTACCAAAGACGTTGATGTCAAAGAAATTGAACTCAAATTTACTTACTGCAGGCAGATGCTACATGCACGGATTTCTATGATCTGCTATGAGGTACGTCCGAGTTTGGTGACAGCCAGTGTTTTATATGACCCATAGTGAATAGAAAACCCATGGTATGGAGGTTATCCCGTGCGGGCAAAAATGAACTTAACTCTTCTTCCCACAAACGAGTCACAAAAGTGGATTCTTCTTTAATTTAGTCCGCTGAAAATATTTTTTAGTTCCGCTTGTAAATGAGTTATAGATTTTCTTAACGGCCTCTTACGTATATCTTTGAATTACGAATGAGTTCACTCAAGAGATCAGTTCACTTTCATATATAACGACCAGTGTAAATTCCTCGTTGCTAGAGCTTTCGCACGATTACTTTTTTATTAGGTGACCTGGAAAATTATGAAAGCATGGGCATTGATTTTCGCTACAGTGCAAATTAAAAAAAAAATGATAGGTTTTGTCGCTCTCAGCACTGTGTTTCTTAATTTATTTAGTTATCGTTATTAATTTATATAGTCATCGCCCTATTCTCGTTTTTACTAAGTCAGTCAGTCTCTCAGTCACTCAGTCAGACAGTCAAATTTTTATTCGAAATAAAGTAAGAACTCGTTTTAATGGAACCGAATGCGACTACTGAACCTTATTGCCCTTTGGAGGCTCATACTTTATTTTTCGCATGATAAATTAGTGCAGAAATCTGATAATTTGATTTAACTAAATGAATAAAATAACATTGTAAAATGGCGGCACGCTATTCCGCTTATAACGACATAGAGCAGTGAATTAGTTACGAAATAGAAATAGTTAGTTCCTGTTTGCTTTTAAGTGTACAGTCTGCAGACTTTCGTCAGACAATCTTATATTTGTAGCAAAGAAGCATTGATATAAAACGGTATGTTTACGAATCATAATTATATTTTTAAATCAACATGGAAGTAACGACGCAATAACTATTGTACAACATTTGTGTGACGTCACATGTTGGTCCCAACCTGTTAGGACAAATATAGTTCTTTTGTTTTCGTTAAAGAGTTGACGTCAAACATTACAGCACTTTCGAATACACTGCTACTTTCGTCACTGAACTCATGAAAAGAAGCTGAATTTTTAAAGCATGATTTTTGACCATGAATGGGCACAGCGCTTTTACTGGTCACTGAGTCGAGCAATTTGCTCTCTTTTTAGCCGTTGGGCAAGATTTTCAGTCCTAACCTGTACTGACTTTAGTATAAGAGTTTTAAACATGCAAATTTAGCAAGAAGCCCTAATTGAGATGTGTCAATGAAAAAGACAAATTTCGTTGATGACACTGGCTCGCGGAATGAAAATTCAACTCCATCGCGCTATCGTCGAACGATGTTTGTTAATATAATTTAAC